TTATCAATTTGGAGGATTGTTGGGGAATTGGGGAAGAACACTTTCTAAGTATTTATTTTGGATCAGTCATGGGGCTTGAACTCAGGGCCTAGGCACTTTCCTGAGCTCTTGTTGCTCAAGGCAAGCGCTCTACCACTTTGAGCCACAGCACCACTTCTGGTTTTCTGGTGGTTTATTGGAGATGAGAGTCTCATGGCCTTTCCTGCCTGGGCTGGCTTTGAACCGTGATCCTCAGAGCTCAGCCTCCTGAGTAGCTAGGATGACAGGTGTGAGTCACTCATGGCTGGGCTCAAGTTTCTTTCATTACAAGAGGAAAGGCTGTAGGGTCTTTCTGCTTTGCTTGTGCAAAGGCTTCATCTTAAATACTGTGGATTGATGGTGCCAGGTTCACAGGAGCGATGCCGATGTGTTCTGAGATCACTGCTACTGGGCCCTGTGGAAACAGGAACAATGTGATAAACTCACTCTCCTGCTCCACACCCTGAACTTGCTGGTGGCGATGGCGGGGAGGGCAGCAGCGCTCGCGTCGCTCGCTCTTGTCCCTCCCGGCCATGCCGGTGGCAATTTCATGTCTGTGGCACCTCATCCGGATGAGCTGAGCAAGTGACACTGAGACGTGGGTCCACGTGGACAGTGGGTACAGAAAACCTCCAGCCTCGCCCCACATCCTGGTTGCTGCGGACCAGCCACAATTCTCCAACCCCAGCAACTCCAGGACTCTCACGCATTTTATTTTGCCTGGGTCTCCCTAAATCCAACAGGAGGCAGACACCAGTGGCTCACGCCTGTCAAACTCCTCGAGAGGCTGAGATCTGAGGAGGGTGGTTCAAAGCCAGCCTGGGCAGACAAGTCTGAGAGACTCTTAGGTTCAATGAAGCAGCAAAAAGCTGGACGTGGAGGTGTGGTTCAAGGGGTAGGTAGAATGCCAGCCTTAAGCAAAAAGGCTAAAGGACAGCACCCAAGCCATGAGTTCAAACCCCAGGACAGGCACATGGACATGGACAGACACACACAAACACAAAGAGGAGCCATGGCAGGTGCATATGTCCACATGTATGTGTGTGCATCCTACATAGAACCTTTGCTTTTTGATTATCCTCACACCCTCCCTTAGATTTTTCACTCAAAGCTGACACTCTACCACTCGAGCACAGCTCTACTTCGGGCTTTTTGCTAGTTTGTTGGAAACAAGCGTCTCTTGGGCTGAGCATCTATGGCGCACGCCTGTCATCCCAGCTACTCGGGAGGCTGAGATCTAAAGATTGCGGTTCAAAGCCAGCCCTCACCCACTCCCATTTTTGAACCAAATAATAGTGAGGATGACGGGAGGAAGGTCAGATCATTCAAAGAAACTCAGCTCAGGTCACTCCTGAGGGTGAAGAGACCCAGAGTCCAGCCTCGACAGCTCCATCAGTAGACGCGCTTTCCACCACCGGCTCAGTCTCCTGCTCTTCTCTTTTCCACCCAGTTCCCAGAAATGCTGCTTCCTGGGCCTCGTCATTCCTTCCATAACCCGTGGCGCAGCTGTGTGGGGCTGGGCGGCAGGAAAGACGGCTCGGCTTCTCCTGTGCCTGTCGGCACTTGCCAATAAAGGGCAGAATAATCGGAGAGCCCAAGGCCCGGGCCAGGCCAAGGGCAGACAGACTCGTGAAGGAGCCAAGATTCAAGGGCTGATTTTCCGACTCTTTAAACTCTGATCTATTCCAGCTTTGTGTGTGGATGTGCGCATGCACGCATCCACGCACACACCAGAGCTGGTGCTTGAACTCAGTGCCTGAGCTCTGTCTCTGAGCTTTTTTTGCTCAAAGCTAACACTGTTCCACCTGAGCCACACCGCCACTTCTGGCTTTTTGCTGGTAAATTGGAAATAAGAGTCTGATGGGTTTTTCTGCCCTGGTTGGCTTTGAACTGCGATCCTTAGATCTCAGCCTCCTGAGGAGCTAGGATGATAGGCCTGAGTCAGGTGTGCCTGGCCTATTTCTGTTTCTTTTTTTTTTGGGTGGGGGAGGTCTGGTCGTGGGGCCTGAACCCTGGGCCTGGGCGCTGTCCCTCAGCTCTTCAGCTCAAGGCTAGCGCTCTACCATTAGAGCCACAGCGCCACTTCCGGCTTTTTTCTTTTTGCTTATGTGGTGCTGAGGAATCGAACCCAGGGCCTCAGGCATGCAAGGCAAGCGCTCTACCACTGAGCCACCTTCCCAGCCTGGAAAAACAGTTCTTACTCAGCTGGTGCTCTACCACCTGAACCATGCCTCCCAGAAAAACAATTCTTATAACAAGACTTGGCTTGATTAAATTAGCATCTTGTAAGACAATGGCTATTCTTTAAAAAAAAAAATAGCAGTGTTTCCATCAACCACTTGTGGCAGAAAAGATTCCAACTCTTATGTGGAGTGTTCACACTTAGATAGCAAGGGAAACTGAGGCACAGCTCAGGTGGGCTGAGAAAGTCTCACCCTGGGGAACGTCCGGTCTCCAAGGGGACAGGGAAGGGCAAGGCTGGAAGGGCAGGCAGAGAGTGAAGAGGAGAAAGAGAGGTGGACAGGGAAGCCAGTGGAGTAGAAGCAGGCAGGTTTTGTAAGATGATCAAGGCTCGGGGGTCCGGGAACCCCTCTCCCAGCTGAGTAGCTCCGGTCACCATCTTCACCATGAGAGCAGAGGTGCTGGGCCAGCACTGGCGGGCAGGCGCCGAGCCCTGGGTCTGAGATCTACACATTCATCCAACTCTGGGCCTGGGCGCTGTCCCTCAGCTCTTCAGCTCAAGGCGAGCGCTCTACCACTTGAGTCACAGCGCCACTTCCAGTTTTCAGGTGGTTCATTGGAGATAAGCGTCTCACAGACTTTCCTGCCCAGGCTGGCTTTGAACTGTGATCCTCAGATCTCAGCCTCCTGAGTAGCTAGCATGACGGGCATGAGCCCCCTTCAACCAGCCTTCCCTTGTATATGACTTTAGAATGATCTTTGTCCATTATCTGTCTACAAAGGGGTTCAGCAGGTCAGATGGTAAGAAGAGTGCACTGGATCTGTGTTAACCCATCCATTCTTCCACCCCCCTCCCCATCTCTCCCAACCCCACCCCTGCCCTCAAGTTACTGGCTCTGTGTTCATCTCTGGACATTGAGCATGGCCACCCATTCGCCCACCCTTCCCCTCGCTATTTGTCTGCCTTCCACCGTACCACACCCCACAGGCCCTAGACTCCTGGTATTTGCTGTGTGAAGCATGGCGCAGACCATACTTCAGGCAACTTGCTTGTGGATGTCTGCATGTGTTTCCCTATATGTTCCGATTTCAATTTAGCTTCACATACAAGAGAAAACACACACCCAGGAAAAGAGTGGTTCACACTTCACAGTTCTGGAACATCCGGGGATGCTTGTATCCAGCCGAGGCCTGGTGATGCTTCAACTCTTGGCAGAAAGTTGAGCGCTTGTCGGGGCAAAAAGGCTGTCCATGCCTCCCTGGGAGCCAGGACTCACTGTGGCAAATGTGAGGTGCACAGAATTCGAACTGGGATCCCCAGCTCAGCAGTCGGCGCTGGGATGAGGCATTCACATGGTGAAGGCTGACAAACATTGGCCAGAATGGATCTTTCAGGAAAAAGAGTGGAAAAAAGGGGAAGAGGGAGAGGGAGAAACAGAGAGGGGAAGGGAGCAAATCAAGTGTTGTCAGAGGTTTTTCTTCTCTCTCGCTCTCTCACTCTCTCTCTCTCTCTAAAGGATGGAGATGGGGTTTCCTCTTAAAATATCTTGGGGATGCTTCCAACCAAAAAGGGGAGGATCTACAGATCTCCTGGAGGGCATTTGTGAGGCCTAACCTACATCAGGGCCTGTGCTCCGCCCAAGAGAAAGGTACAGGTACAGCAGGGCCTTGTGCAGCACAGGGGAGGGTGGGCAGAGTGGGGGCTCCTGCAGGAGGAGGGAGGGGGCGGGAGGAAGAAATGCAAAGGGGAAGTCTGGGGCCCCGGAGGAGGAAGCAGTAAAGCTGAGAGGTTTGTCTGGAGAGGGCGGACCCTCAAAAGGAAGCATATCAGACAGCCCGGATTTGTCTTTCCTTAAAAGAAAAAGAAACAAAGGTTGGGCACCTGTGGCTCATGCCTAGAACTCCAGCTACACAGGAGGCTGAAATCGGAGGATCTGGGTGCGAGGCTAGCCGGGGCAGGAAAGTCCATGAGACTCTTTATCTCTAATTAACCAGTAAAAGACAGAAGTGGAGCTGTGGCTTAAGTGATAGAGCACTAACTAGCCTTTAGCAAAACTACTCAGAGACAGTGCCTAGGCCCTGAGTTCAAGCCCAGGGCTGCCCCCTACACACAAAAAATTGTTCATTGTTATGATGCATCAAGATTGGGGGAAGAGTGGAAATATATATATATAAATGGTTCTGCCATTCTAGGTCTTGGTCCCCCCAAAATGTCTTGCCATGTATCAGACTTCATAGATAGCCTTTTCCCATCTCTGCCTTGCCAAATCGATTCCCTGCGTTCTTTTTCCTTTGGGTGACTCTTCAGAGCGCCCAGTCGAGGGCCTGGCTCAAGTTCAAGTTCACCACACTTCCCCCAAACAATGATGCCTAGATTTTTCCCCTCCCCCCCCCCCCCCCGTGGTGCAGGGTGGGTGATGACCTTCTGGGAGGAGAAAGACTAGCTGGATCATGTGAGCTCTGCATCATCTCCAAGGCTAGCCGAGGAACCCTAACTCCACGGGAGGAACGCCAGATTGAGGCATCAGAATTTCCCCCAACCAGTGTCTGCCTCCTTCCAACCCCCCCAACCCCACCCCCCACCAAGGGCGGCTAGGGGCCAAGAAAAGGCGCCTGCGGCTCCTTTAAGAGGCAGGACCTCACGGCGCAGCCTCCGCGCCTCTGATTGGGTGAAGCGGCTGCCTTTCTTCGCACTCCGCTGGGGGGGGGGGCGGGCCTCGGTTGCCAGGGAACGGCGCAGGGGTCGCGCGGCGGCTGCGCAGAGCGGCGCGTCGCTGTCTGGGGTGGGCCGCGCGCGGGGCGCGGGGCTCCGCGGGATCGCCGCCAGGCCGAGCAGTTCCCCGCCGCCGTCGCCGCCGCCGCCCGGCTCGCCGCCCGGGCCTCCGCGGGCCGCCGGCACCATGGGCCAGTGCGGCATCACCTCCTCCAAGACCGTGCTGGTTTTCCTCAACCTCATCTTCTGGGTGAGCGGCACCGGCGGGGCGCGCGGGGGAGGCCGCGGGCCGGGGCGGGCGGGGACGCGGGCCGGGGCGGGCCTGGGCCTGGGGCGGGCGGGGACGCGGGCCCGGGGCGGGCCTGGGCCCGGCGGGCGGCGGGGCGGGGGGCCCCGGGCCGGGCCCGGGGATCCGGGGGGGGGGGGGGACTCGCGGCCTCCGCCCCGGCGGCCCGCGGAGGGGGGCCAGGCCGAGCCCGGGCCAGGCCGAGCCCGGGCCGGGCCGAGCCCGGGCCAGGCCGACCCGGGCCCGCACGCGCGCGGTACCGACCGCGCAGCCCGGCGGCGTCGGGCCCGACCTGCGACGCCGGGCCGGGGATCGGGGTCCGCGTTGCGGGGTCGCAGCCCCGGGGGCCCGGGGCGATCGTGCCCGCGCCGTGCGGCCGTCGGCGCGGGCGTCCCCCGAGCGCGGGGCCCAGCCCGCCCGGCGGCGCCACGGGGCCTCTTTGTGTCGGGAGTTCGGGGCTCGCCCCGCTCCCCGGCCCGAAGGAGTCCCCCCTGCAGGGCCTCGGCGCTGTTCTTGGACCCAGGAAAACGGTGGATTTGGCGCGGCCTGTGGCGTGCACGTTGTTTTTGATTGATTGATTGAGTGTGCGCGTGTGTGTGCGTGTGCGTGTGCACACGCCGGTTCTGGGACTGGAACTCAAGGCCCGGACCCTGCCCCCCAACTTTTTTTTTTGCTCAAGGTTGGTGCTCTACCCCTTGAACCACAGCTGCACAGCCCAGCTTTTTGGTTGGCTGGTTGGAAATAAGAAGCTCACCGGCTTTTCCAGCCGGGCTGGCCTCCAACTGCCCTCCTCAGCTCTCGGCCTCCTGATGAGCTGGGACGACAGACGGGTCCCCAGCGCTCGGCTTTGGCATAGGGTTTTGAAAGCAATGCACTGGCTTTCTCGGTGGTTTGGGACCCGCCTTCAGAGGGATGTGTCACGACCCTCTGTGTGCATCACCCCCAGAGCCCTCGGGGGGAGCAGTCCATGTCCACACCCTTCCCTTCCGGATCTTGCACCCGGATAAACATTTTTAAACACACCCTCCTCGTTTTATTTAAACACACACACACAGCATTAGCCGCTGAAGCCCACTGTAGTGTCAGCGTGGTCCCTCCTCCGTCACAGCTGGCCCTGTCACCACACTGGCCTGCCCAGGACAGGCTCCTCCGTCCCCATTCCAGAACATTCCTTGAACATTCCTTCTAACGCTACTTTTTTTTTTTTTTTTACCAGCACAACTATGTTTATTGCAGCATTATTTACCATAGCTAAGATATGGAACCAACCCAAATGCCCCTCAGTAGATGAATGGATCAAGAAAATGTGGTATATATACACAATGGACTTCTATGCCTCCATCAGAAAGAATGACATTGCCCCATTTGTTAGGAAATGGAAAGGCTTGGAAAAAATTATATTAAGTGAAGTAAGCCAGGCCCAAAGAAACATAGGTCCCATGGTTTCCCTTATTTGCAATAACCAGTGTATGTCTGAGTCAAGCAGAAAAAGTCAGATAAGTTGATGTTAGGGGAATGAACCCCCAGATAAGTATTCAAATGTTTTTTTTTCCTTTCATGCAATTGTTTCTAATATATTTATAAGATGATTTCTATGTTGCTTTATATGTCCTTTCCCCACAGTATAACCCCTGCTTTCATTGTATTTGATGTCGGTATAATTTGTGGAGGGGAAGGGAAAAAACAAATGGTTTAACTAGAGATACAGGTGGACCCATTGCAACAATGAGATGTACAAGTCATTATGTTGAAAAACAAAGTTTACACCCTTGGTGGGGGGTGATCGTGTGGGGGGCGGGGGGAGGAGGCTGGGAAGGGATGGGAAGGGGAAACAAAGAGGAGGCAACAATGCTTGAAAAGAAATGTACTCGTTATCTTGCCCATGTAATTGTAACTCCTCTGTACGGTATTCTCACAATTAAAAAAAGATATTTAGGTAATGATTAGGAATTAAGAATAATGATAGGTAGGTAATATATTGGGACTGGTCTTTTATTCTATTTTACGATAGTAATAAAATGATAATATAAAATTGTTAAAAATGAGGAACTGTAAAGGTAAGAGACTTACTCTGAATGCCAAAGCCTTAGTCTAACGCTACTTTTGAGTAATCTTTCCCGCATCCTCTCCACCCACAAACACACACACACTGTTCTGGAAAGACTCCCTACTGGCCCCTAATAAAGAGGAGCCTCCTCTACTCCTGGCTGCCCGTCAGACTTAGACATAAACAGGCTCCTATTCCCCAGGGAGGGGAAGGCATCCTTCATCAGGATCCCCGGTCAAAATCACCAACCTGACCTGGGGTTTCCAGAATTTCTTCTTTACCATTCAAACCAGTGATGCTCGTTCTTCGAGTTACAGGCGTGTGTTTGTGTGTCAGTACTGGGGCTTAAACTCAAGCCCTCTGGCTCTTGCTTGGCTTCTTCAGCTAAAGGCTGGTGCGCTTCCACTTGAGCCACAGTTCCACTCCTGGCTTTTGGCTGGTTAATTGGAGAAAAGAGTCTTAGGGACTTCTCTGTCCTATCTGGCTTCAAAGCATGATCCTCAAATCTCAGCCCACTGAGTAGCTAAGATGACAGGCGTGAGCCACCAGTGCCTTCTTAGCAGGAAGACAAATAGATAGCTGAGGCTCGCGCCTGCCCTCCTGCTCTAGAGGCTGAGACCTGAGGAGTGCAGTGTGAGGCCAGCCTGCGCAGGGAAGTCAGGGAGACTTTTGTCTCCAATTAACCACCCAAAACCTGGAATTGGAGCTGTGGCTCAAAGGGTAGAGCACTAGTCTTGAGTGAAAAGGTTCAGGGCCAGCGCCCAGGCTCTGAGTTCAAGCCTCAGGACCAGCACAGAAATTCAGAGACACCCTCCCTCCAAAATGAGAAACAGTTTGTTATTAGGTAGTAAGACACTTAAGAGACAGAACCTTGGCTCTGCAAGCTGAAAGTTCCTGGTGAATTTGTGGACATCGCTGTCCAGGCTTAAAGATGGACACAGGAGGTGCTAGATATGTCGGAACTGTTTTCACAAGTCAGATTTTTGTTGACGAAATTGGAAAATCATCTAAGTAACCACTCAGGACTTCAGAAACTGAGTTTGTTTTTAAAAAAATCTACTCATCTGTGCTAGTGGGATAGTAAAGGCTTGAGTGAAGCCTGGTGCCAGTGGCTCACACTTGAAATCCTAACTAAGGAGGCTGAGATTTAAGGATCATAGTTCAAAACCAGCTAGGGCAGGAAAGTCCATGAGACTCTATCTGCAATGAACCACCAGAAAACAGGAAATAGTGCTGTGGCTCAACATGGTAGAGTGCTACCCTCGAGCAAAAGAGCTCAGGGACAGCACCCAGACCCTGAGTTCCACCCCACGACCAACAAGAAATAAAAAGACTTTGGTGCGTAGTTAAGAAACAGGAAAGTAAAATTGTGGCGACTATTAGATGTGACTACTGATAGATCATTAGTTTCTCACTTCTGGGCAACAGTATTTGATGTGACTCCCTACTTGTTGATAGTTTCAGCCTGCTAGGGGATGGCATTAGATGTGACTCGGGGCAGGTCGCTAGTTTCTGACCTCGCTGAGCAGGACTTCCCATGAGTGGGGTCAGAGCGCGTCCTCACGCTGCTCCTGCAGCAGGGCCTCCAGGTTGACCAGCTGACGTTCCCCCCACCAGGGGACAGACCCTTGTTCCCTGCTCTACACTCTCCTGGAACCTGTGGTGTTAGCACAAGATGTGCTTTCAAAAGACTGGAAAGGGTGCTTTCTTCTCTGATGCAAACTGAGGTTGAAGCTTGCTGGGCAGCTGTGTCAGCATTCACCTACCTGTTCACCACCGAAGGCTAGGAGGAGGAGACACACCCAAAACCCTTAGCTGGTGCTTCACGGTTCCAGTCAGGGTTACACAGACCCTGATGGAGGTGCCCTGGCCAGAGCTCTGTTTCTTCCTTGGACGCTGGTGCCTTCGGCAGCGTGTATAATGACTGGGATGTGGACACAAATGCCTGGGAACAGAATCACCTGACAGCCCGCATTGTTAGGTTAGTTTGGCACCGTTTGGGCTTGTGTGCTGGTGAAGAATGGGCACACACTAACCAGAGAAATACTCAGTTCTCAAATTCACGAAGTTGTCTTAGATAGTTCTTCGCCAGATTCCAGCATATTGTGGTTTGCAGCTTGCAAGATGGCTGTGGACAAGTGTGAGCGTGCACAGCTCGACTCTGTAGAGTGCCGTAGCTTCCCGTGTCAGTGCTGGACTCAGGGTTCATTCCAGAAGGCCGGAGTGCGGGGGGGGGGGGGGGGGGGAGTCCTCAGGTAAATGGCTAAGCGTTGGAATAAATACTTAGTCTGTCTGTACCTGTCTTTACACTGGACCAAGGGCAGACAAGACTCTTAATTTGGTACTCAGGAGGCTGAGATCCAAAGGATTGTGGTTCAAAGCCAGCCAGGCCAGAAAAGTCCTAAGAGACTCCCATCTCCAGATTAACCAGCAAAAAGCTGGTTATTTGACCCAAGAGGCCTTGTTTAAAACAAAGCCTTGAACCACAACTCCACTTTTGGCTTTTTGCTGGTTAATTGAAGATGAGTCTTATGTATGAATTTCCCTGCCCTGGCTGCCTTCAAGCCATGATCCTTAGATCTCAGCCTCATGAGTAGCTGGGATGACAGGCGTGAGCCACCAGTGCGTGCTGCCTGGCTTTACTTTCTCTACCCTACTAGAAAAGGCAGTTGACAGTGTTAGCTGCATGAGTTTATCTTAGGCATCACAGGGCCAGAGGAGAACAAGCTTTCTTCTTGCTTTGAGAGTCTGATCTTGTGGGCTGTGGAGGCTGCTGTACTTCATTTTTATGAGCAGAGCTTAACAGGAAAACACCCATAGAGCTGGAACAGCTTGGGCGTGTGACTTAGGGGAAAGCCACCTATAACCTTTAAATTTTATCTTGCCTTAAAAAAAAAGTGTTACGCTTGCCTGTGTG